GGGGGATGGTCACGCCGCAATCCCTTCTCCTCCATTCTCCTCTCGGGATCTTGGGCACGCACGCACATGCGCCTGGCGTGAGTTTTAAGCCACTGGGTCCGGGGGACACGAACCGCGGTCGACTACGTGGGAGTCCAGCAACATAGCCATTACGCTAACTGCTGGTTCCCTCTTTGGAAGGTTTTCAGCCAGGGTGACAAGATCACCTATGAGCTCAGGCGCGTGGAGGCAGCGTAGTGGAGGACGTCATTCATCGTGTGTGAAATGCAGCTTATGGAACGGATGGTGATTTCAATTTTGTTCAGAAACATAAAAGATTTTAAAAGTACAAGAGATAGACCAAGATTTGGACAGCTTATTTCTCCATTCTCCTTTCGGGATTTTGGGCATGCACACACATGTCCTCAGCATGTTTCTCATCCTGCCAGGTCCAGGACTCGAACTGCACAGTAGGCCGTATAGGGCCTAACTGCTTTAAACCTCCACACCATCTGCTGGCCCTATGTGGTGATATTTTACATAATTGTATCTATTTTTTCAACCTGTTCCCAAGTTACCACAAAGTAAACATACTTTCAGGACCTGTAGGTGGCATAATGGTTTCATCACTGGACTTCCACATAGTGGACCACGATTTGAGTTCTGGAGCTAGCAGCTTAAAACCCAGGCCACTCATGTGTGCATAAGTGCCCCAAATCCCAAGAGAAGAATGGAGGAGAAGGGATTGCAGCATGGCCATCCTCCCTGGAGGGTGATTTCTTGCTTTCTGTCTCTCTGTTTCTGTAGATCACACATGTGCTATAGTAAAAAAACTTTTTAAAAAAAGGAGGAAAAAAAATACACTTTCTGTATCAGAATAAATTGATTTTTCTTAAATTTTGCCATAAAGGTGCACTCATCTGAGAAATACAGATGGGGTGGGGGAGGTGGGGGCTGGTGACTGTGCCTTAATCGCTTCTCTCGGAATTTTGGGCATGTATGCATGTTTATTTTCCTCTTTTTTGCGGGGGGGTAGGGGGAGGCTTTTGCTGTAGGGCACATGTGCTGGCCAGAAAGACACAGAGACAGAAAGTGAGAAATAACCCCCTGGGGTGATGACCACACCGCAGTCCCTTCTCTTCCATTCTCCTCTGGGGATCTTGGGCACACATGCACATGTGCCTGGTGTGAGTTTAAGTCACTGGGTCCGGAACGCGAACCGTGGTCGACTACTTGGGAGTCTAGCGACATAGCTACTACGCCAGCTGCTGGTCCCATGCATGCATTTTTAAGCAACTCAGTTACATGATTTGAACTAGGCAGTCTTTTGGGATCCCGCCTCTTTAACCTCCAGGCCGCCTACTGATCCGAATTTTTGTTTTTGTTTTTGTTTTTTAAGAAGAAACTTGGTAGCATGAGGACTCCTGGATTTGAATGTTGCTTTCTTTATTTGATGTCTAGAAAACACTTTGTCTCCCTGCTCAATATATACAGAACGTCTGCACTCTGACAGAAATGGAAAGATCTGAAAGAGCGATAACAGGAAGGCCGAGTGTAGGTGCCGGGTCTGTAAGGGGGAAGTGAATAGTAGAGGGCAGGTCGGGGCTAAGGGAAGAAGCACTTGACAGACCCAACAAAGTAAAGTGCTTTATCGGAAATGATGTACAAAAAAGTCTTAAAATTAAAAACAAAACAAAACACTGAGAACCAACCCAAAAAAAGAAAGAAATGACTTTGTATGGTTGATCCTTCAGCACAGGAGAAAACGACGTTCTTCACCTTTAACTCCTCCCACACCTCCTTCACAAGCAATGGAGAAAAGCTCCTATGTTCAGACCGCAGAGATCTCACTGTGGACGGTGGTGACCGCCCTGCAGGCGGTGGAGAAGAGGCTGGACTCCCAGGCCGCCCGGCTGCAGAGCTTGGAGGGCCGTGCCGGCACGGCAGAGAAGAAGCTGGCCGACTGCGAGAAGACGGCCATGGAGCTGTGCAACCAGCTGGAGGGCAAGTGGGCCGTGCTGGGGACGCTGCTGCAGGAGTACGGGCTGCTGCAGAGGCGGCTGGAGAACGTGGAGAACCTGCTACGCGACAGGAACTTCTGGATCCTGCGGCTGCCCCCAGACAGCAAGGAGGAGGCCCAGGTAGCCCCATTGAAGAGTCAGAGTTAGGCGAGAAGGGGAGCCCAGCCCTTTTTTATCTCGGATTCTAAATTGCTGCCTTTTCCTTCCTGACTGTGAGCAAGTGCTATTTGTGATTTCAGGTGTCTGGGTCACTGGAGAACGATGACATCGGTTTCTCTGAGCAGGAGTGGGAGAACCTGGAGGACTGGCAGAAGGAGCTGTACAGAAACGTGATGCAGAGCAACTATGAGACGCTGGTCTCTCTGAGTGAGTCTCCTCGTTCTGGGCCAGCCATTAGACTGCTGCCCGAGGCTCCAGGTCCTCGCCCTGACAGGGACTTTGGGGAACGTCTGCATCGTGCCTTGGTGTCTTTTAGCGGTCACACAGTCGGTTCTCAGTAACACCTACTAGTGCGTAAGATGTCGCTGTACGCAGTGTGCTTGAAACGGCTGGCGTCCTTATTTTGTTACGTTCCAGACCGTTGGATGAGAAAGTCCCTGGTACCTGGGCCAGGCGGGCAGCCTCTAGAAGCTGCTTCTTGGCTTTTGGAGTTGCAGTCATTTTGTTCTCAGCATTTTTTCATGCTGGTAGGAGTGCTGCTTAATAGGCATAAATCTTCATAGATACGTAAAATATTAAGTCATCAGGTAACAAATGCATTTTGTTTGGAAGACACACCTTTTTTTCTTTTTTGTTTTTTTTTTCTTTCTTTCTTTCTTTTTTTAGGTTTTAGCCATAGGGCGTATGCGCTTGCCAGAGAGAGAGCAGGAAAGTGAGAAACCACCCCTCCAGTGCGGATAGCCTTGCTATATAGTCCCTTCTCGTCCATTCTCTCAGGATTTTGGGCTTACATGCACACAAACCTGGCATGACTTTCAGGATGCCAGGTCCGGGATTTGAACTGGCCATATGGGAGTCTAGCACTTCAACCACTATTCCACTCGCTGGTCCCTAGACACAGTCTTTTGAAACCAAAGTCCATGATTTTTTTTAAAGAGTGTCAAGAAGGTCAGTGTGGGCCCAGCCCCGTGGCCTAGGGATTCAGGGAGCTGGGTCCTACATGGTGTGTTGTGCAGTTTGAATCCCAGTTCTGGTGACTTGAAAAACACAGTGGCGTATGTATGTGGGTTCCTGGAATCTTGACAGGATGGAAAAACGGAGAAGGGTTTGCAGTGTGACCATGTCCCATTGGGATTCTTTCCCTCTCTGGAGAGCACATGTGCCCTCTGGCAAATTTAAGGTAAGATACAAACTGTCAGTGTGAAGGGAGCAGTGAGAAGGGGGCACCTATCTGAGGGGTGACTGCAGCCCGGCCTCCTGGCCGTCCCTGGTCAGTCACAGTACCTACCTCGCCTGGCAGTGCCTAAACAAGGATCTGATTAGGTGCCCTGTGGGAGCATCGGCCAGACTCGAGCCACATGCACGAGGGAAGCAGTAGTGATGCTGGTGAGAACGGCAGGCCCCGTGGCCTGACTGGCTCTCGTGAAGAAGCTGCGGGTGTGGCAGCTGGCCCAGTCAGTCCCACATTAGGATGGCCCAGCCTTTTCTGATGGCTCAAACTACTAGAAGGAAGTGGCACGAACAGTGGCCTTTCAGCCTTCTGAAGTCGCAGTGTCCTCTCCCTGCCGCTGGCTGCCTTTCATGGCAGCTGCCCGTGCGCAGTGAGCTCTTCCTCTCCCCTGGGCTCACACTGTATTCCAACCCAGAGGTCCTCGGCCAGCCAGAGGGAGAAGCGGATCTGGGCACGGAGATGCTGGGTGACTTGGAGGAAGAAGGCCCTGCTGGCTCCCACCCAGGTGAGTGGCTCCAGAGTGTCCCCTACCCCACACCCCCTCCAGCTCCCTGCAGCCCGTGGTGAGCTTTCCTGCTGCGGGGCAGCCAGGGCTGACCGTGAGTACCCGGCCTGTGCTGCTACAGACTCCTTTATGACTGTCATTAGATCACTCATTGGACACGTCTCAGCTCCTACAACCTGGGGTCCTTAAAGGCTAGCGACCTCGTCACACTCCTTCGTGCCCTACACCGGAGTACCGAGTGGAGATAGGCAAGCCTGTTGGTTACCGAGTGGGCCGGTTGGAGCCCCAGGAGGAAAACATTTTTGAGCAGGTTGCTTTGAGAACATGTAGGAAGAACAGGACAAGGTTCATTTTAACCTGTAGGTTTAGTTTCTCTTTAATCATTAAAAGTTGTTATTTTAACCCTCTCCTTAAATTGGTGTCATTGTTAGTGAGTATTTTGTCATTTTTTTGCAGGGATTAAGTATAAGTTTGTAGACAAGCTTAGAGAACTATGATTTATACCTTTGAGTAATGTATCCAGATTTTCAGTCAGCACATCTATGTGTGAACAGAGGTTTAATTCATTTTTTGTTTTGTTTTTTTTAAGGTTTTTGCTGTAGGATACGTACGCTCACCAGACAGACAGAAGCAGTGAGAGGGAAAGTGAGAGGTCACCCCCCGGGGGGGATGGCCATACTGCAATCTATTTTCCCTTCTCTTGAAATTTAGGGGCACATATGTATGTGTGCCCAGTGTGTTTCGTTTCTTTCTTTCTTTCTTTTTTTTTTTTTTGAGAGGTTTTTGCTATAGGGCATGTGCGCTGGCCAGAAAGACAGAGATACAGAGACTGAAAGCGAGAAATCGTCCCCCGAGGGGATGGCCACTCTGCAATCCCTTCTCCACCATTCTCCTCTTGGGATCTTGGGCACACATACACGTGTGCCCGATCTGAGTTTAAGCCACCGGGTTTGGGACTTGAACCATGGCCAACTACATGGGAGTCCAGCAACATAGCCATTACGCTAATTGCTGGTCCCTGCACCCAGTGTGTTTCAAGTGACTGGATCTTGGACTCTAATCACAGTCGGCCATGTAGGAGTCCAGTGCCTAACTGCTATGCCACTTGCTGGGCCATAAAGGTTTAATTTTTACAAGTCTTGGAACCTAGTCATTCTCACTCTTTTCCAGATTGTCTTACTTCACTTGTTCCTGGGGTGCTTTGATTGGAACCCTTTTGAAAATCACATGTTTGTTCAGTTCTGAAGAAAACAAAGGTGTTAAAATGTGATCTTTTTGTTGTTGTTTCTTCCTTTTTGCAGCAGACGGGGTCATTATCAAGCAGGAGATAGAGTATGCACAGGAAGACCCTGCGGAGCTCGCTGGGGAGTTCTCAGGCATTGTTCAAGAGCCGGCTTTCCTGAGCCCGGAGCAGGCCGAGCTCTGGGCTAGCCAGGGCTGTTCTCTCTTCTTGGAGTCAGGCCCTGGGGACGCTAACCTAGCAGAGCCCGTGGAGGGCAGTAGAGACCCCGGCAATGGCAGAGAGCTGGGCTACTCCTCGAAGCAGAAGTCATACAGGAAGGTCCAGCTGGGTCAGGAGCGAGGTCAAGGCCTGAGGCTGGAAAGGGACAGTCCCGGCCCTTACCAGTGTTCTGTGTGTGACGCCACCTTCCGGTACAAGCAGCAGCTGGCTGCACACCTGCAGAGCCACTCAGGGTGGGAGTCGTACCCGGTCACAGAGCCAGAAGAGAGCCCGAGACCCAGGCCGCAGCTCAAACCCCAGTCCAAGAGGGCCAAGCTACACCAGTGCAACGTGTGCCTGAGGAGCTTCAGCTGCAAGGTGAGCCTGGTGACCCACCAGCGCTGCCACCTGCAGGAGGGGCCCAGTGCTGGTCAGCGCATCCAGGAGAGGTTCTCGCCCAACAGCCTGGTTGCCCTGCCTGGCCACATCCCTTGGAGGAAAAGCCGGAGCTCCCTCATCTGTGGTTACTGCGGCAAGAGCTTTAGCCACCCATCCGACCTGGTGCGGCACCAGCGCATCCACACGGGCGAACGGCCCTACAGCTGCACCGAGTGCGAGAAGAGCTTCATCCAGAAGCAGCACCTCCTGCAGCACCAGAAGATCCACCTGCGGGAGCGGGGCGGGCTGGCCCCAGAGCCCAGAAAGCCCAATGGTTTGCTTTAAGGGTGCCGGCCCTCGCCCGTTCGGGGGGCGGAGAGGGTTGGCATTGGTCCCCCCAAAGAGACCATGTGCAGAGCAGGGACTGACTGCTTCCTAAAGGGAGCTGCTTCTGGTTCACCTCCCCTTGACCAAGTACCGAGCCACGCCCAGAGGCTTCCTGAAACCACACAGGAGAGGATGCGGCCAGGCCTGGCCTCCCTGTCTTTGCCCGGCTGCTGAGGGCACTGTGTTCCGCGCACCCCTCAGTCTCCGGTTTTCCCATCTGTGCTGACACTCGTCGGCTGGGCTTGGTGTCTAACCGTGCAGGGACTGGTGGCTGGCTCCAGGCTCGTCCCAGCGTTTCATACCTTCCTGCAGGGTTAGGGTCTGGCCGCAGGAGTGAGCAGGTGCATGGAAAAGTGCCGGGAAGCATAACCCTCCATTTCTTCTTTGTAGGTTCCTCCTTAGTAACAGGTAGAAATAATTTAAACAAATGCTTACTCTGCTCTGATGAATCATTTTTAGGATTAGATTTTAGTTGATTTTTTTAGGATATAGCCCAACACTGCTTTTTAAATTTCAAGTTGTAGAAGTTGTTCCTAACATGGGGACTGGGCCTACCCTCTAGGAGGGACTAGTTTTTGGGGCTCTTTTAGCCCATCCACACTTAGGCCAGAGGGCAAGGTTCATGGTGCCGGGCTGCCCACGTGGGGCACTTGTCGGAGAAGGACCAAGCGGTAGAGAATGGGGAGGTGGGCCCCAAAGCCCCTGCTGAGAAGAAAGATTTCTGTACAGGAGCTGAGAGCCCCGTCGTGGGCGGGTGTTTGTGGTCTCGCCATGCCCTCCTTCCCACCCTCGTCCTCATTCTTGCTGTGGTTCTGTCGCCCCAGGGTGGAAAATGACTTCGTTGCTATGATTGTTCAGCTTGTACCACTGGTCATTTGAGTTCCTGTTATAACTGTCCTCACTCGGGGTTGCTTGGAGTACACTTCCCAGAGTCAGTCTAGGGTGGACTGTCGCAGACGAGAGGCACACACGTGCTGTCTCAGGAGAGTTGGGCACCTGCCCACTGTTTGGGGGATGGGAGTGGGTTCCTGGGTCATATATTAATGTCCCCTTGGGTGATTTGCAGTTGCCTAGAATAAAACCTGCTACTAGCAAAAAAAAAAGTTTATACTGGATTTTTTTTATTTGTTGAGAATGTTTTGGGGTCTAGGAGGCTGCCTTGACCTGGAGTGATGACAGAGAGGACTGCAGGCCCAGCCCAACCTGCGCTTTTGCTTAAATCTAGGCCAGACGAGAACAGGGCGGGGATGAAAAAAGCTAGGGGCCCTCCCTCCATGCAGTGGTGCAGAGCTGGTGGCAGTCTAGGTGTGGTTATCGGGAGGCAGCGCAGGTACGCAGAGGGCTGCCATCCAGCAGTAAGGAGCATTGGCTTAGGTGGACATGTAGCCACGTGGACGGTCTGAGATGGTCAGCGTCAAGAGGATGATGTCAGAGACGTGGGCTAAATCTGCACGTACATGGAACATTTTGTGAGAATGCCTGCAGACTGCATCCTTCGTGCATGCTCGAGAGAAGACAGGTCCCACGTGGCAAGAACCGTAGTTCAAATCCCGGGTCCACTCATCCTGAGACACAACAGCCATGTGCGCAAGTGTCCGGCATCTGATGGCCAGAGGAAGGACATCATGATTGACACCCTGTGGAGGGCTGGTGTGTGCGCCCTCACACTTGCTATGAATAAAGTTAACAAAACAACTTCAAGAATGAGACCATTTAGAAGTCAAAGGATACTCTTAAAGACACTACCAAGAATGTACTCGACAACTGGGTCTGCCCTTGTGGCCTAGCACGTTAGGGACGTGGTTCATGTAGCAGCTTGAGCAACGTGTGTGTGCCGCGTGCCCCAAATCCCAACAGCATGGAGGAGATGGAGGAGGGGTTGTGGGGTGACCATGCTATCCTGTGGGGTGCTTTCTCCCTCTCCTGGTTTCTGTCTCTGGCACATGCCCTATGGCGGAGGAGTTTAGAAGCAACGTTGAGGGAGGTCATCCCAGCTGCTGCATAGCCTCAGTACCTGTGGGGGACCTCCGGGGCTTCCCTCCTGAACTGCAGTCTTCCTACCCACAAGCCTTTGCACTGAATGCCCTCCCTCCTCCCCCTGCCATCCCTTATGGTTTTCACCCCCAAGTGTGTGTTTTAATGTGACCAGCCTTGTTCCTTGCACTGGGGAGACAGCAGAGTACAAGTCGGGGTCTGGTTCTCCAGCACAGTCCTTGGCAGGGAAGTAATGGAGTTGAGCCGCTGGGCTGCTCTGCTGACCTCCGTGGAGCACGCGTGTGCAAGGTGCTCTTTGAAGTTCACATAAAACCAAGGCACTGTGACCTACGTGGTATGTAATGCAGCTTACACTCGGGATGTGGGAGGCCTGAGAAGTGGTCACATGGTGGAGGTGTTGAGAGCTCAGGCTAGCTTGCCTCAGAGCCCACGTGCTGGGCCCAGAGTGCTGCCGTCCCTGCAGGTAAGCTCCAGTGTCAAGGCTGGGCTCTCAGTTCCCGTGTGTGCCACAGCCCCCCCCACCCCCACCCCCCACCCCCGACCTGATGGGCTCCCGGGTGCCGGCCTGGACCCTCTGAACCGGAGTCTGCATTTTAGCCTCATCTGTCGGGGACTGCGCAGAGAGGCATTGTCTAGTCACACAAGGAAATTAGCTCCTTGCCGTCTCCACGGAACACCTCTGCTCAGTGCTGAGGAGAAAATGGGGAACGGGCCGTCTGAAAGGGGTGATCAGCTGGAAAGGTGTAAGTCAATGCAGGGAGGAAACGAGTGCCAAACAGCGACCCTTGCCTGTTTTCTTGATATTCTGCCAGGGTCCAGTTGTCGCTCACGTGAACTACACTGTGACCTAATCGGCCTCGTTACATCTTTTCTGCTCCGAGAGTTGCTGTGGTGGATGGAGCACACTGGGACACGGGCATCGTTCAAACCTCCCAGTGGCCTTCAGCGGCCACCGGGAACCAGCGTTTTAGTGCAGGGCCCAATGCTTGGACAACCTGACCTCTTGTTGCGACTGTTCAGTTGGTAATGGGAAGTGGAGGGATTTTGAACATTAGAACGGCCTGACTCTAGCTGTAATGTAGGAATTTTTTTTTTTTTTATTAGTTTTTTGAAAGGGGACCTGTGGGGGACCTCCGGGGCTTCCCTCCTGAACTGCAGTCTTCCTACCCACAAGCCTTTGCACTGAATGCCCTCCCTCCTCCCCCTGCCATCCCTTATGGTTTTCACCCCCAAGTGTGTGTTTTAATGTGACCAGCCTTGTTCCTTGCACTGGGGAGACAGCAGAGTACAAGTCGGGGTCTGGTTCTCCAGCACAGTCCTTGGCAGGGAAGTAATGGAGTTGAGCCGCTGGGCTGCTCTGCTGACCTCCGTGGAGCACGCGTGTGCAAGGTGCTCTTTGAAGTTCACATAAAACCAAGGCACTGTGACCTACGTGGTATGTAATGCAGCTTACACTCGGGATGTGGGAGGCCTGAGAAGTGGTCACATGGTGGAGGTGTTGAGAGCTCAGGCTAGCTTGCCTCAGAGCCCACGTGCTGGGCCCAGAGTGCTGCCGTCCCTGCAGGTAAGCTCCAGTGTCAAGGCTGGGCTCTCAGTTCCCGTGTGTGCCACAGCCCCCCCCACCCCCACCCCCCACCCCCGACCTGATGGGCTCCCGGGTGCCGGCCTGGACCCTCTGAACCGGAGTCTGCATTTTAGCCTCATCTGTCGGGGACTGCGCAGAGAGGCATTGTCTAGTCACACAAGGAAATTAGCTCCTTGCCGTCTCCACGGAACACCTCTGCTCAGTGCTGAGGAGAAAATGGGGAACGGGCCGTCTGAAAGGGGTGATCAGCTGGAAAGGTGTAAGTCAATGCAGGGAGGAAACGAGTGCCAAACAGCGACCCTTGCCTGTTTTCTTGATATTCTGCCAGGGTCCAGTTGTCGCTCACGTGAACTACACTGTGACCTAATCGGCCTCGTTACATCTTTTCTGCTCCGAGAGTTGCTGTGGTGGATGGAGCACACTGGGACACGGGCATCGTTCAAACCTCCCAGTGGCCTTCAGCGGCCACCGGGAACCAGCGTTTTAGTGCAGGGCCCAATGCTTGGACAACCTGACCTCTTGTTGCGACTGTTCAGTTGGTAATGGGAAGTGGAGGGATTTTGAACATTAGAACGGCCTGACTCTAGCTGTAATGTAGGAATTTTTTTTTTTTCATTTAGTTTTGCTACGGGGCATTTGTGCTCACCAGAGAGGTAGAGAAGGAAAGTGAGAATGCAAGTTGCCCGGTCTGGGACTTGAACTGTGATCGGCCATGTGGGAGTCTAGCGCATTAACCACCACATCACCTGCTGGTCCCTAATGTCATTTTTTCTTACTGCCAGAGGGTGCGTGCCCTTTGTGTGTGTGTGTGTGTGTGTGTGTGTGTGTGTGTACCAGAGAGAAAGCAACCCTAAGTGGGGCATGGTCACACCACAATTTCTTTACCTTTTCTCCATCATATCAGGATTGGAGGCATGCTTGCAATTCACCTACAGTGTTTGTCAAGCCTCTGGGCCAGAATTCAAACCTTGGTCAGCCTAGATCCATTAACCCCTGAGCCAGCCTGGGAATGGGATTACATCATGGGGTTTTCTAATGAGGTAATTTGCTAGCTTTTCGAGGGAGCCCAAGAGCCGGTGAGGTCCGGACCAGTGCGGCTGCCTTGGGAAGGGAGCAATGGGCAAGCGCAGCCAGGGTGGCCAGTGACCACGTCCTGACGGCTACACAGCCCCGAGCAGGCGTGCTTGCACCCCAGCGCTCACCAGATGCTGGAGAGCACAGTGTCCGGGGAGCTCAGTGCTGCGTGAACTCTGGAAGGCCCCACAGAGCAGGGGCTGGTTATGCTTTGGGGCTGCCTCTCCTCACATCTTTGACTCGGTGTGGGTCCACTCATTAAATAACATGCCCAGATTGCATGAGGGCAGGGTGGGCACAGGGATGCTCTGAGCTGCCCCTACTTCTTGGCTGAGGACAGTGTGGCGGGGACAGTTCACTTGAGTGTCCTGAGCACTTGGAGTGATCCTAGGAGCAGCTTTGGTGGCTCTCAGCCTCTGAGGACCCTGTCTGCAACAAGGGACATGACCAGCTGCTTCAGTGACCTGCACTTTGGTGGGTCACTTGCTACCCCAGGGTCCAGCCTCAACCTTAAAAATCTAGTGCTATCAGTTCACCCTGGGGCTTTAGGCCCTAGAGATCTGTCCCCCCTCAGCCCCCATAAAAAAAGCCAAATGGATTAATAAAGGTGAAGGGACCAGCAGATGGCCAGATGGTGTGGAATGGTTACGTTGCTGGACTCCCATGTAGTTGACCGTGGTTTGAGTCCTGGAACCTGCGGCTTAAAACTCACTGGGCGCATGCCAAAGACCCAGAGGAGAATGGAGGAGAAGGGATTGCCATGTGGCCATCCCCCTAGGGGGTAATTTCTGACTTTCTCTTTCTCTCTCTTTCTGGCAAACACACGTGTCCTATATAAAGAAATTTCTCTCTTAAAAAAAAATAAAAATATATAAGGGGACAGCAGGAGTGTGGAAGTTAAGGCACTGGATTCCCGCATGGCTGACCATGGTTGACGCCCTGGACCTGGCAGCTTGAAAATGATGCTGGATATGTGTGCGTGTGTGCCCAAAATCCTGGAAAGAGAATGCAAAAGGGACTGTGACATGGCCATCCCCCTGGGGTAATTTCTCACTTACCCTCTGTCTCTGTCTCTCTCCAGCAAGCACATATACCCTATAGCCGAAACCTAAAGTTATATACACAGGGGTGTGTGTGTGTGTGTGTACACATATATGGCATTTACATATATATGTATATCTATGTATATAGAATTGCAAATTTATTTATAAAATCAGAGAATGAGAATAGGAGGTATGTGACAGCAACAGGGCACTGAGGTGGGCTAGCCTATGGCATGGTGGTTAAAGGCAGCTGGATCCTATATGACAGTGGCACGGTTCGAATCCCAGATCCAGCAACTTGAAAATCATGCTGAGCCTGTGTGTGCACAGGCCCAAAATCTCAAGAGAAGAATGGAGAAGGGATTGCGGAGTAGCCATCCTCCCTCCCTCTCTCTGATAAGCACAAGTG